GCCTCACTCAGTCCCGTGGGCCCCGTGCACCCAGTTCTCTGTGTAAGTTTGCCCTGGACACTCAGTTGGACCTCACTCCATCTGTAAGAATTCGGAGGGATCAGGAAAAACTCCCCAGAACAGGAGACTTTTAGGCAAGATCTGAAAAGATTGGGTAGAATCACACCGAGGAGAAAAGTCATTCCCAGCTGAGGAAGCGTATACCGGCCATGCCAGGGGCCTATGAGCAAGGAGCAGGTGGGGCTGGAGAATGAGGTCCGGGTGGGGCTGATCTCCGACTCACAGAGTCACCTAGGATCTTAAGGAGATGATGTGGCTAGGAGCAGGTGTGCTGGGGAGGCAGAGACCAGGGAGGACATGAGGTTCCCAGTAATTGCTGGGAAGGCTGAATCACTGGAATGCTGCGTCCCTGCGATGACACCACGTCAGAGGTCAGAGGAGGAGGGAAGGGCAGGACTGCTTGGGTTGACTGAGGGCGGGGAGAAGCTGTCTCTGGCCTAAATTGTGTGGCAGAAGACTTGTAGTCTAGAACTGAGCAGAAAGGGCGGCCCCTGCAAGCTGAGTTTCTCATGATCGCCATGTCAAGCCGGAAGTACACCCATTTGTTTATGTAGTTATTGTTGATGTCAACCTCTGGGAGCTTATAGGAAGGTCACAGAGAAGATGAAATGATTAAACCATTAACACTCAGCAAAAGCAGTGATGACAAAGGCAGAGGGGAGTAGGCCGACATTCCTGGAAGGTCTAGGCTCCAAAAGAGCCACTGGAAACCGAGGGAGCACCACGGGATTCCTAGCTGAGCTGGTCAGCCGCCACGCAGACAACAGGAAAGTAAATAAATGAAGCAGAGGGACTTGGGAGAAAGGCAGCGGTGACAGGAGGTGACATGGGATCATCCGGGTGGTGGTGGAGGAGAGGAGCTGGAAGCTGGGTGGGGCTTCAGCAGAGCTGACATTTGGGGAAGATGGCCCTTCTCCCAAGGAGGAGCCCCTCTTGGGCTCTCGGGGGTGGGGGGTGGGGATCTGCACGCCTTTCACACCAGCCTTCTTATAGGGAGCAGGACAGAAAGTGGTGCTGTCTCCTGGACTCTGACCTTCTCTTCTGCCATGAGGTGGGGTTGCCGACTGCCCAGGGCCTCTTGGGCCTCTGGTCTGGGAAGAGGCCCCCGGCTTCCAGGTAAGCAGGAATCGGCGATGTCTGAACCTACTTCTCCCTGCCTCTTCAGAGTCCAGATGGTCCCATCAAGAGAGCAGGGGTCCAGACACTGGGTGTACTCGTCCCGGCCCTGTCATTCGCTAGCTGTTGACCTTGGGCAAGTCACTTCACCTCTGGGAGCTTTCCTTTGCTCCTCTGAAAATGAGATCATCTCCGCGGGCCCTCATGGTGTCCCTCGTGTGATTTCACCTTGCATTCAACACATAGTCACTGTGCCTGCTCCGTACCCGGCCCGGGGCTAAGTTTTAGGTATCTAAACCCCTCTGCCATCTAACTGATTCTGACTCACAGCCACCCTATGTTGGGCTTTCTGAGACTGTAAATCTTAATGAGAGCCTCTTTTTCTCTCAGGGAGCAGTTAGTGGATTTGAACCATTGACCTTAGGTTAGCAGTCCAACTGTTTTATTTTTTAGCAGTCCAATTCTTAACCCCCAGTGCCCCAGGCCTCCTTTTTAGATATATAGATCTGTGAACAAAACCAGATTGATCCCTGCTCTTATTGACTTCCTGGTCCGTGTGCACAGGTATGAGGGGAGATAAATGCTAACTACATACTCACCCCAGGAAAGAGAAAGCTGTGCAATAACTACAGAGAGAGCAACGAATGGGAGGTTGGGCCTGGACGTGCTATTCCCCCCCTTCTTCTCCTTTCTCTCTGCAGATGAACGTGCCCCCTTTCTGGCCTACTGGAGTTGGCCTCTTAAGGAAGAATGTTCCCTTGGGCCCTGTAGGTGAGGCTTTGTTATTATGCCTTAAGACACTTCTGGGCACAGGAGGGTCAGGACTTGAGCTACCTTGGCAGGTGGGAGTGGGGAAGGGGTGGGCTGGCGTTCTGGGATGGAGAGGGTATGGAGTCAGTATCCAGACCCGAGAGGTAGTTGACTTAGGTCTATGGAAGAAATAGTGGTCAGCCTGAAGGGGGGGGCGGAGCCTGGCAATGACCAGCAAGAGTTCCAGGCAGGCAGGCAGAAGAGGGGGCTGGAGGGCCTGGGGTGAACCCTGCATCTTTGGAAAGGCATCAGAGTTCAGGCAGGGCTCTCAGCTTGGTGACCAGTGTTGGGTCCAGATCTCAGCAAGCCAGAAACCCACTGGTCGAGATAGGCTGTGCCCAGAGCCTGTGTGGGGCTGCGAGCCTTGTCTCCAAGTCCCAACTTACCCCTCTTCCTGCTCGCAGGGCCTTCATACGCCACCACGGAAGCTCAGCGGACAGTGCTCCCCCACCAGGGAGGCATGGGCAGCTGTTCCGGGGCGTCGCTGCGACTGGTAAAGGGACTGCTGGAAGGGGACGTAGGATGAGGGGTGCAGAGGGTGTGCTGACCTCGGCCAGCAGTGGTTGCTTCACTCCCGCCCTCGGCCCGTGGCCCTTCCGTCCACGGATCTCGTGCAAAGCACACTCACTGTGTCCAGAGCCAGGCGGAGCTGTACCAGCCCGACCTTCAATCTTGGGTTCAGCTGCCAGCTTAGAGCTGCACACACAGGCCCTGGAGCTGGTCAGCCGGCACCCACATCACACACCTGGTGGCTCTCAGGTCCTGCCCAAGGAGTTCCAAACATTCCAGACAGGCGTTCTTTTCTCCTTTTTCTGCCTCACTTCTTCTTCTTTGTTTCCTATGGACATATAGTTCATGTACCTGACAATTCAGTGGTTTAAAAGTCTGTGCTTTTGAAGGGTGTCCTGGGTGTCCCACCACCATCTGGACCTCAGCAGCTCCCGGGGTCTGCACGCCCCATCCTGGCCCTACTACCCCCCCACCCTGCCCTGCCCTGCAGCTGCTGCTGAAAGATAACGCCACATCTTGGCGACCCCACAAATGTCAGGGCTGCGTCCCCCTGGGTTTCTGGTGGTCAGTTTGGCAGAAGTAGGTCACCAGGCCTTTCCTCCAAGGGACCTCTGAGGTGCACTCAAACCTTTAACCTTTGTTTGTGAGCCGTTTGCATCACCCAGGGAACCCCACTGCTGCCCTGAGCTCTCATATGCCCCAGCTTCTTCCTCTGACCCATGGCCCTCGCTTTCTCGTCCAGAAGCCATCGAGCGGCACCGCCGGAACCTGGCCGAGTGGTTCATCCGGCTGCCCCGAGAGGAGCGGCAGTTCGGCCCAACTTTTGCACTAGACACGGTCCATGTGGACCCTGTGATCCGTGAGAGCAGCCCTGATGCGCTGCTTCGCCCCTCCGCAGAGCTGGCTTTGGAACATCAGCTGCCCCAGCCGGGGCCGGCCCCACTCGCCCTGTCTCAGCTCTTTGGGCCGGATGCCTGTGGGCGCCCGGTGCAGACCGTGGTGCTTTATGGGACAGTGGGCACAGGCAAGAGCACGCTGGTGCGCAAGATGGTCCTGGACTGGTGCCACGGGCAGCTGCCCGCCTTTGAGCTGCTCATCCCCTTCTCCTGTGAGGACCTGTCATCCCTGGGACCCACCCCAGCCTCCCTGTGCCAGCTGGTGGCCCAGCGCTACACGCCTCTGAAGGAGGTTCTGCCGCTGATGGCTGTGGCTGGGCCCCGGCTGCTGTTCGTGCTCCATGGCTTGGAGAGGCTCAACCTGGACTTCCGGTTGTCAGGCACAGGGCTTTGCAGTGATCCCGAGGTGCCGCATGCATCGGCTGCCATCATTGTCAACCTGCTGCGCAAATACATGCTGCCTGAGGTGGGTCGCCCCCTGCCCGGCCCTTCCACTGCCACCCTCTGGAGGGCTGTGTCCTATGTCCACGTGTCCGTTGAGTAAGAGTGGGTTGGCCCTGGGTTAGTTCACATCCTGGCTCCTCCTCTTCCCACTCTGGGACCTTGAGTAAGTCAGTGACGTCCCTAAACTCCGCTTCCTTTTTCCTTTGAGTTGTAGTGGTCCAGTGAGAGCCTGCCTTGAAGACTGACCAAGCAAGGTGCCTTGGCACAGAGTTGGTGCTCCATAATTGATGCCACCACCATCCTCATCCTTGCCTGGGGAGGGAGGCAAGCAGGACCTTGTGGATCTGTTGTAATCTCTGCCCCCTCGTCCCCCAGGCCAGCATTCTGGTGACCACGCGGCCCTCCGCCATCGGCCGCATCCCCAGCAAGTACGTGGGCCGCTACGGCGAGATCTGCGGCTTCTCGGACACCAACCTGCAGAAGCTCTACTTCCAGCTCCGCCTCAACCAGCCAGACTGTGGGCATGGCGCCCGGGACGCGGGCATGGTGGCCACCTCGGCCCAGCGAGAAAACCTGGTGCAGATGCTGTCCCGGAACCTGGAGGGGCACCACCAGATCGCCACCGCCTGCTTCCTGCCCTCCTACTGCTGGCTCGTCTGTGCCACCTTGCACTTCCTCCATGGCCCCACACCGGCTGGCCAGACCCTCACGAGCATCTACACCAGCTTCCTGCGCCTCAACTTCAGCGGGGAGATGCTGGACAGCACGGACCCCTCCAAGGTGTCTCTGATGGCCTATGCGGCACGGACCCTGGGCAAGCTGGCCCACAAGGGGGTGACCTCTCGAAAGACCTCCTTCTCCGAGGAGGATGTCCGGGGCTGCCTGGAGGCCGGCATCAAGACGGAAGAAGAGGTCCAGCTGCTGCAGGTCTTCCGCCGTGATGCCCTGCGGTTTTTCCTGGCTCCGAGCGTAGAGCCGGGGCGCCCGGGCGCCTTCGTCTTCACCGTGCCCGCCATGCAGGAATACTTGGCAGCTCTCTACATCGTGCTCGGTTTGCATAAGACGACCCTGCAGCAGGTGGGCAAGGACGTGGCCGAGCTTGTGGGTCGCGTCGGAGAGGACGTCAGCTTGGTGCTGGGCAGTGTGACCAAGCTGCTGCCCCTGCGGGTCCTCCCTCTGCTCTTCAACCTCCTCAAGGTCGGTCCCAGCTCTGCCCCCTCCATTGCTCCCCCCTCTTCCCAGGATGCCGGGTGTCCAGTTCCCAGCCCCCAGGGGTCCATTCACCCCTTACTCTGCTCCCAGGAGGAAGTGACTAGCTCCTGCGGAGCTGTGTCCTCATCTGGACTCTCTCAAATTTAGGCCGTTTGACCACCAAGGGGCCTGCTACATGGGGAAGGGCCCTGGTGGCACAGTGGTTAAAGTGCTTGACTACTCACAGAAAGGTCAGCGGTTGGAACCCACTGGCCAGTCCTAAGAGAGAGATGTAGCAGTCTGCCTCTGTAAAGATTTACAGGCTGGGCAACCCTCGGGGGACAGTTCTATTCTGTCCTCTAGGTTTGCTATGAATTCAAAGTCACTGGAAGGCCGTGGAGTGGAGTTTGGTGTGACTCAGAGGAGTGGGGAGGGGCGGGGGGAGGCGTGGAAATGGCAAGGGGATTTTGAGGATGCAGGAACCCTGGTGATGTAGTGGGTTACACATTGGGCTGCCAACCACAAGGTGTGCCGTTTGAACCCCCCAGCTGCTCTGCAGGAGAAAGATGAGGCTGCCTCCTCTCGTAAAGATTTGTGAGCTCAGAAACCCAAGGGGCAGTTCTACTCTTGTCCTCTAGGCTTACTATGAGTCAGAGTTTTTGTTCCAGGGGCTTTACAAATAATCCTGCTGCCCTATCAATAGCTTTCTTTTCACGTCTTTCCTTCCGGTCTTGGGTGCTGGGTGGCAGGGGGTCACTGCAGCTCAGGATCTGTCTTCTGCTTTGCAGGCCACCGAATCTGATTGCATCTCTCTCTCCAGAGGTGATCAGGCTTTGGGGGTGATGAGTCACCCTAACTCAATCAGCAGAGACAGGTTTATAAAGCAGATGCCATTTGATTCACTTACACTGGGAGGATAAATGGCATTGGTAATTGGCTTAGGAAAGCCCTTCCTGCATGCGGGCGGGTCCACACCAGAAACCGAATTACAGGCCCCAGGACAGCGCTGCGGGCAGGCTCGGCCACTCTCTGCCGCTGTCTTCCAGGAGCATCATGAAGCTGCTTCTCCCTTTCATTTCTTGCATCAACCCTGGAGGTGAAATATTAGGACCCCCTTTACCTGTGAGAGGAGCCCTGGTAACATAATGCTTATACGTTGGGCTGCTAGCCTCAAGCCCAGCAGTTCAAAGCCACCAGTCGCTCCTGGGGGAAAGATGAGACTTTCTACCCCTGTAAAGAGTTGCAGTCTTGGAAGCCCACAGGGGCAGTTCTATCCTGTCCTGTAGAGTTGCCATGAGTTGGGATTGACTCGTTGGCAGTGCGTTTGGAGTTTGAGTTCATCCAAGAGGAAGCGGATGCTCACAACAGACAAGTGACTTGTCGGAGGTCACTCAGGCAGCAAGTGAAACAGCAGGGATTTGAGCACAGATTTCTTAATACTGAATTCTTCACTCTGTATGACTGGCTCATAGCGTGTTCAAGGTGGGGCGCCTCGTTGGATAGCCAGCCCCTGTCTTCACTAAGAATGTCTCAGTAACTCTGGAAGGTCTTGAGAGCCCTGGTCCAAACCCAAACCCACTGAGTCAACTCTGACTCAGAGGGAACCTTCTGTGGGGTTTCTGAGACTGTAAATCTTTCCTGGAACAGACAGCCTCATCTTGACCAGTGACTTTGCCATCAGGAGCCTAACGCCTCATGTGCAACTTCAGTACTGCCACACCCAGACATTGCTCTCTGAACAGCAAAGCATGAGGGTCCACGGCACGCAGTCACATGGGCTAACTCTAGCCCCTGCCATTTACTCAGGGTGTGACATTGAACCGGGAACGTGGCCTCTCTGTGCCTCAGATTCCCTAGTTGTTCGAGGGGTGTAATATTCACGTGGCTCCCAGTGACCTCACCGGAGGGTTAAAGGAAGGAATCCGCAGGGCCTGGCCTGCAGTAAGTCATCTCCAAGCATTTGTTAGGCAAACAGAAACACAGGCTTGTGCAACACGAGCCTATGTACGTCATTGCCCTAGACAGTAGGCAATGTCCACAGCGGAGACCACATCGTGGCCGGCCCTGGAGATACGCTCGCCTTACCTGGATTGCAACGACAGGGGGGTGGTCTCCTGGTGGGATTCGGAAAGCCCTGGTTATCCTGAGAACCCGCCAGAATTGCTCATGTCATACCCCCAAGCCTCCCAGCTCACTTCGCTGAGCATGGTCTCACCTCTTGCCTCCAGAGTCTGTCGATTTCTGCTTCAGAGGGTGGCAATTTCTGTTCTTGTCACCAAATTATTCTTGGGAGAAGGGACACTAGACCCTTTCCTCCACGGCAAACTTTGGGAGGTGCCACAGAACAAAACCAGGGTCCATTGCCGCTGTCAGGAAGGGAGATGGCGTAGCAAACCTCCCCGGGCATTCATTTCTTCAACAGCCATCTGAAAGACTGGTGCTCTGACCCCGCCGGGACCAGCCAGGTGGACAACGCGGGGAAAGAGAGGCGCTGGAGGTGGAGAAGCCTTGACGTTGTCAAGGGCATGAGAAAAGCCACGAGGAGAGTAGTGGCAGGGGTGTGGTGAGGCCACGTGGGAGACAGGAGCCACAGCACACAGGCCTCGATGTATCGAAGTCGATTTCCTACTGAAGGTGGCCCTCGGTGACAGAGAACGGCCCCAGAGGGTTTTCTAGGCTGCGATCTGTACGGAAGCAGATCACCACGTCTGGGTCCTGCAAAGCCGCCCGGGGTGTTTGGCCCGCCCACCTGCCTGTTGGCAACTGAACGCTTAATGATGTAGCACCTTCAAGACCCACATTCAATCACAGTCATCCTGGTCTAGATGATAACAATGGTGATGTATTTAGAACACCAGTTCGGTCTTAAATTGAAACCCTAATCTATGCTTAATTCCCCCCCTACCCTGGGTTGGTACAGTGCTTCAAGCACTGGACTGCAAACTGCTAAGTCGGAAGTTCAAATGTACTAGCCGCTCTGAGGGAGAACGATGTGGCAGTCCACTGCTATAGGGATCTGCCGCGTCAGAAGCCCACAGGGCAGTTCTACTCTTTCTTACAGGGTCGCTGTGAGGGACAGTGGACTGAAGGGCAGGGTTTGGCTTTGGGTTTGGGGCTGGACTAGAGTGGGGTGTTGGAGACAAAAGAAGTGAATTCTAGGTCTGGAGTGCAGGGAATGAGAGTCCCTGCCATGCCCTGGAGTCAATGCCAATTCATAGTGACCTTCTTGGACAGGGCAGGGCTGGTGCCCCTGTGGGTTCCTGAGACCATAACTCTTTACGGGAGTAGAAAGCCCTGTCTTTCTCATGCAGAGTGGCTGGTAGTTTCGAACTACCAACCTTGAGGATCTCAGCCCAACTCGAAACCGCTACATCACCGCTACCTGGAATGGTCCAAATGGGGCTAACCTCTGGAAAGGTTTATCCACTGGGCGAGGGTGGTTAGAGTTTGCCATGTGGGTGTTGAACCAGAGGAGGCCAAGTGCCAGGAGAGCAAGTGTGGGATGGAGCATCTGGGCGGCAGGCTGCTTGCGTCTGACACCGAGTCCCTCCCTGGCTTCCTTTCCCAGGTGGTCCCGAGAGTGTTTGGCCGTATGGTGGGTAAGAGCCGGGAGGCTGTGGCCCAGGCGATGGTGCTGGAAATGTTCCGGGAGGAGGACTACTACAACGACGATGTTCTGGACCAGATGGGCGCCAGCATCCTGGGCATGGAGGGCCCCCGGCGGCACCCAGATGAGCCCTCAGATGACGAAGTCTTCGAGCTCTTCCCCATGTTCATGGGGGGCCTTCTGTCTGCCCACAACCGGGCCGTGCTGGCTCAGCTTGGCTGCCCCATCAAAAACCTGGATGTCTTGGAGAATGCTCAGGCCATCAAGAAGAAGCTGGGCAGTCAGGGCCGCCAAGTGCTGCCCCCCTCGGAGCTCCTTGATTACCTCTTCTTCCACTATGAGTTCCAGAACCAGAGCTTCTCCGCCGAGATGCTCCGTTCCCTGCGCCAGCTCAACCTGTCCGGCGTGCGCATGACGCCCCTCAAGTGCACCGTGGTAGCGGCCGTGCTGGGCAGCGGAAGGCATGCCCTGGATGAGGTGAACTTGGCGTCCTGCCAGCTGGACCCCGCGGGGCTGCGCACACTCCGGCCTGTCCTGCTGCGTGCCCGGAAGCTGGGGTGAGCACCCATTCAGCCCTGGACACAGCCATGAGGAGCCAAGTGGGTTGGCGGCAGAGAGACAGGGAAAAGAAGGAGCAGGGCAGGAACCAAGGTGGAGAGGAAGGCCCCGGGGGTGGGGTGGGGGTGGGGGGCCGGTGTGTGGGGGGGTAGGGGAGTGGGGGATGGAGTTGGTGGAAGGAGGCAGCGGGACAGCAATAGAAGGCAGAGCAGGCTCTGACGGACTGGTGAAGGAGGCAGGTCCCCTGTTGAAATCCTGCCTTGGTTTCCCTTCCTTGTTCTTCTCCTGCCTCCCTCCGGCCACTGTCTCCTGCCCCAGCTTGCAGCTCAACAGCCTGGGCCCCGAGGCCTGCAGGGACATCCGAGACCTGCTGCTGCATGACCAGTGTCAGATTACCACCCTGCGGTAAGTGCTTGGCTGGGGCTGGCCAGGAGTTCCTTGCCGCCTACCTAGGTAGCATCTGCCCACCTGTGGTGCCGTCTTCCTCTTTATAAAGGTGGTAGAAATCTAGGCTTTGTCTAGCCCCATGTCAGTACGAGCAGCAGGGCAGTGGGGAAAGATTACCACCAGCAACTGGGCCTTGGGAAGTCTCTCACGTGGCTAGAGTGCGCCAGTGGGCTGGAGAGATGAGGAGGTAGAGTAATACCCAGGCTTGTTGCCTGGTAACAGCTCCAGGATGTTCCCTGCAGTCTCCAGGGAGAACCCTCATGCTGGGGTGCTTCTTGCTTTAAGGGAGGGGATGTGGAGGGAGGGAGAGAGAAGGCTGGGGAAGCCAGAAGGGAGGGAGACCTATGGACAGGGCTGGAGGCAAAAAGGGAAGGAGGGAAATGGTCAAGAGGAGGAGGGAGGGGAGGGGCAGCAAGGAGTTGAGTTGGGGTGGAAAGGGGAATGGGAGTGGAGAGGAAAAAGGGGAGGCCAGCCTGTAGCCCCTGACACGGCACCCCCGAGTTCCAGAGGCGTCTGCCGCCTCTTCCCAGAGAGCTGTGTTGCTTGGTGTCAGGCTCATCTCGGTCCTGGGCTAAGTCCTAATGTCCAGAGCAGGCATCTGCAGGTGTCCGCCTAACCTTGGGGTGATTGTGGCTGTAGGCTGTCCAACAACCCGCTGACGGCCACAGGTGTGGCCTTGCTGGCTGAGGGACTGGTGGGAAACACCTCGCTGACACACCTGTCCCTGCTGCACACCGGTTTGGGGGACGAGGGCCTGGAGCTGCTGGCGGCCCAGCTGAGCCACAACAAGCAGCTGCAGGAGCTGAACGTGGCCTACAATGGTGCCAGTGACGCTGCGGCCCTGGCTCTGGCCCATGCTGCCAAGGAGCACCCTTCCCTGGAGTTGCTGCAGTGAGTGCGTCCCCGTTCGCTCACCCTGCCCTCCGCTTGGCCTCTTGAGACAGCCCCCTAGGCTAAGGTGACCAGATGTCCCACTTTTGGCAGGACAGTCCCGATTTCTAACAATGTTTCCCACGTCCCGCGGCATTTTTAAAAAGTCCCAATTTTTTGAAAGAATGCACGACAAGCTCGGGTAGACAGTTTTCGGCTGCCATGTGGCTATTTCACCAGGATGCGAGTTTTATCAATGGTGTCCTGCTTTACCAATGTTAAAATCTGGTCACCTTACCCTAGGCCTGAGCCCGGAGCCCTTTCTCAGTCTCACTGTGCAGTTCCACCCCACTGGGGGCTGCAATGGGTCTTCGCCTGGGGCCTAGCTTCTCTTCCTGGCTTCTGAATGAAGCTGTCATCCTCGTTCTGAGCCACCCCTCCCCACCGAGTGACTGGCTCTTACCCTGTCACCATTCCTTCCCACATTTCTCCTGTGGTCCTGGTTCCATGGGGCTCTAGTGGCAGTCCCTGCCTCCAATGGCCACCACCCAGTGGCCGCCTCTGGTTTATTGTAGACACCTGTCCCACTCCACTCCACAATCAGCGCTAGCACCTGGTGTCCTGCCCATCTGGTCTCTGCCCCTCCTTCGCAGCGCCCTGCTGACCGGTTCTGCTCTTGTCTCTTGTCAGCCTCTACTTCAATGAGCTGAGCTCGGAAGGCCGCCAGGTGCTGCGGGACTTAGGGAGCACGGCTGAAGGTGGTGCCCGGGTTGTGGCATCACTGACCGAGGGGACAGCAGTGTCTGAGTACTGGTCGGTGATCCTCGGGGATGTCCAGCGGAACTTCAACAGCTGGGACCGGGCCCGGGTCCGGCGCCACCTGGAACTCCTGCTGCTGGACCTGGAAGACAGCCGGGGTGCCACCCTTAATCCCTGGCGCAAGGCCCAGATGCTTCGCGTGGAGGGCGAGGTCAAGGCTCTCCTGGAGCAGCTGGGCAGCCCTGGAGACTGAGACAGTGGCTGCAGCCACCTGCTTATGTGACCACTGGCCCTCAAAACCTTTTCTTCTGGTGGCCTCCTGACTTGCACTGCTTCTTCTAGAATGAGCTTTGGAGGACTGGCGGCAGAATAATAGGCACAGCTGTGCCAGTTGCCCTCATAGGGCATTCCCACCAGTGTCCCCAACCCTGCAAATATCAGGGTCCACACTGGGGCACCCAGTGCTTGTAGAGGGAGCACACCTCCTCTCCCATCGACTGGAAGGACTGAAGCACTTGACAGGGTGGTGGCCAAAGACTCCGAGAGTATTGTGCCCAACTTTGCCTCTCCCAGGGCCCCTCTCGTCATGCCACCAAGGTGACATAGGTCTTATGTCCCTCGTGCCAAGGGTGCTGCAATCAGAGGATGCTTTAGCGGCTGAAACACCCCACTGCCAGACCCAGCCTAAGGCCCCTTTCCTCTCACGTGGGTGCTGTCTCCTCCCCCGGGATCCCCTTCCCTACGACGGTGTCCTGCCTGGCTGCCATTAAAAAGCCATACGCTGTAGCTTCTTCCATACGCTGTAGCCTCTTCCTCTTTGCCTCTGTGGCTTTGTGTCATTCTGGTTCAATTACTGACCCTGTAGTGTTGCAAGTGGTCTTAGTTGGGTTCTCTGGAGAAGCAAACCCAGTGAGGCTCCTGTGTATCGCTGTGCGTATCTCATCAGAGCTTCAGAAAGTCCATGGGAAAATTCCATGAGTTTTCCTCCCACACCAAGAGGGATTTCTTTCAGGAAAATGGCTTACATGGTTGTTTGTAGAGGCTGGAAAGTCCCAAGCCCATGGGTCAGACGCCAGGCTCTCCTGCCCCTGACGTGTGTCGCATAAGGGTTGACAGACCTCAGAGCAGCAGCTTAGCTGGCTCACAGCCTATGGAAGGTGATACACATGAAGATCAGCAGGCTGTCGGTCGCAAGAACTGAAGGTCATATCCCAGGTGATGAGTCAGGTGCAGGATCCGGAGGAAGCAAGCAAGCCAGAGAGCTTTGCCAGAGTGCCCATGTATGTTGGATGCAGGCCACACCCCTGAGGAAATAATCCCTTTCAATTGGCTGTGTATAAGAGATTACATCAGAGATGATTATATCAGACCACAACAAACGGTATGACCACATTATTACCTAACTGCCAAAGTACATTGTTACCTAATTGCCAAGCCACTGAGACCCATAGCCCAGCCAAGTTTATATACCACCTTAAACTTCACCGAAGGGTTTCTTAGGTGTGAGGCTCAGAGGTTGTGGAGGCCAGGAAAAGCCCATGAATAAGACACTGGAATAGGGGTAGTTGGTATGGAACTGTAGAATTCATTCGCCTTTTCCATGTCCCACCACCCACCTCCCAGGCTTGGAATTACAGTGAGCACCTATCTGCCTTTCCTGGTCCTCAGGTGGAGCCCAGACAGCACCAGAGGGGATCCAGAGTTAGTTGGGACCTAGGAATGGGGACAGGAGGAGCACACTGACTTCCCGAGGGAAGGAGATGTCCATTCCAGTTAACCATTACCTCGTTGCTTTCACGGCAGCATCTTCAAGGAGGCGGGACTTGAGGGGCAGGAGGGAGGGTCAGCTGGTTGTGTTGGACCTTGTCCCCACGCTAAGTCCTAGATTGCTAATGCAGCCATGGAGGCGGCCACAGGTAGGAGGAGGAGGCTGAGAGGAAATCTTGGGGACAGGTGACTGGGGCAGTCCGGGACAGATTTGGAGACTGAAGCTTTTGCACAAGGACACCAGGACGAGTTTGTGGTTGGGGCTGGCAGTACTGAGTAAACAGACTGGCATTAGGCACACAGCGGGGAGGGGATCTGTCTGTTTTCCTGGTCCACGCCCTGTGCTGATATGCCCAGATTTCTGGGGGAGGAGGGGTGAGAACCAGTGATATCCCTTGGGTGTACATACTATCAGTGAGAAGTCCTGATTTTGAGAGGTTCCCTAAGTGTTTTCCGTTTCTGGCCATGGGGACAGGAGTATGGAAGGAAAATTGTCTGCCCGCTGCCCGCCACCCACCCCCAATCACTTCTCCCCACCCCACAGATCTGCAGGACACAGCCTCATTAACTTGGTAAGTGCCGGGAAGGGTCGGGCAGAGGGAGGAGGGGCTAGAAGGCGGAAGAGCCCTTTGCTGCCATTGGCAGCTAAAGCAGATCCCGAGTGCCAGGTTCAGCCAAGGAGCTTTTTGCCCCGGCCTCCTTGCAGGAAGTTTGAATTTGACCCAAGCCAGGGAATTGATAATCCTGTCCTCTCTCTGGCTGAAGACAGCAGCTTCTCTGGTAACCCCTTCACCCGCGGCAGTCAGTCGCTCCCACCTGCTCCTCCCCCTAACATACACACAGCTTCCCATCTCCTTGGTAACCACTCCTTCTGGTCTCCCTCTGGGACCAACCTGGACAGGGAGTAATGACTCCGAGGTAGTTCGTCCCAGCCACTCGCTCTGCCCTCACCCAATATTTCACAGGGTGGAAGTCTGCCTGGTGCCCTGTGCAGGGAGGGGGCAAGGTCTGCCTGGCACCCAATGACCGTTGCTTGGCCCATGCCCCGCTTCCCCCTTTTCTGCCACCCACTCTCCCTCCAGATTCCTGGAGCCAGCAACAGCCTCGCTTCTGTCTGCTGAGCAAAGAGGAGGGCGGGAGTTTTGGCTTCCACCTGCAGCAGGTGCCGGGCCATGGCGGGCAGATGGTGTGCCGGGTGGAGCCAGGCACCTGTGCGCAGAGGCAGGGTCTACAAGTAGGAGACCGGATCCTGGGGGTGAACGGCGATGTTGTGGAGCATGAAGACTACCAAGCGGTGAGGTGGGGCTGGGCTCCCGGTGGCACAAGACCCCAGGGAAAGAGCTGTGGTCATCTCCAGGATCATTGGGGCAGGGTCCCCAGCCTTACTTCTGTGGTGTGGGGGTGCCCAGGTTGGAAGGGTGAGATGACGACACTCAGAGAGCTCGTTCCCTGGGTGAGGAAGCCGGTGCCAGAGAGGGGGGTGGCGTGAAGGGCCAGCCACCCCCTATGCCCCCCTCCCATGTGCAGGTGGTGCGTCGCATCAGGGCCAGCGGTCCCCGGGTGCTGCTGGCGATTTGGGCCCAGCACCTGCACGACGACGTGGCCCAGGCTCAGCAGGGCGGCGGTGCTCCCTTCTGCCCTCTCCTAGCCCCAGGGCTGCGGCCCCGGCTGTGCCACATTGTGAAAGACCAGGGCGGCTTTGGCTTCAGCATCACCCCTGGTGAGTTTTGAGGCTGGGGGTGGGTGGGGGCAGCCAGGCAGGAGTTCGCGGCCCTACTCTGGGCAGGCAGGGGATTGAAGCCTGCTCTTTGTTGGGTTTTCCCTCTTCTAACAGGAGGGCAGGGTCCTTTCTGGGTGGTGCTGAGCCCTGGGGGAGCAGCAGAGCGGGCAGGGGTGCCCCCTGGGGCCCGGCTGCTGGAGATCAACGGGGTCAGCGTGGAGAGCTTTAGTCACCAGCAACTCAACAGGAAGGTATGGTTGTCCGTCTCTGCCTGCCCGCCCGCGTGCTTGCTCTCTGCTCTGCCTTCACAGCCCGCAGCACCTCCTTCCTGTGCCTGGGAGGAGGGCCAACCTCACCCCACCCCACCCAACCCAGGGGGTTGATGCTGCTGCCTGCTGCTTCCCTCCTCTACCCCCGTAGCTTTGGCTGAGTAAAAAGAAGGTGACCCTGCTGGTGGCAGGGCCAGAGGTGGAGGAACAGTGTCGCCAGCTGAGAATGCCCCTGGCTGCCCCCCTGGCAGAGGGCTGGGCCCTGCCTACCAGGCCCCGGTGTTTGCACTTAGAGAAAGGACCCCAGGGCTTCGGATTCCTGCTTCGGGAGGAGAAGGGCCTTGGGGGTCGCCTTGGTGAGTGGGAGCCTTAGGGGTAGATAGGAAGGGGGGCCCTGGGCTGGCCACCCAAGTGTCTCCAACCCCAGTGCAAATAAGGGGTCCCTCTCTGAACCCCATCCTGGGCCTTCCCCGGGCCAGTCCCCTGCTGTGTCAAATGGTGGCCCCGGGTGGGTGGGCGGCCCTGAGACAGTGGGGTGGGCAGTGAGGATGTCTCTGACCCAGGACAGTTCCTGCGGGAGGTGGACCCAGGACTGCCAGCTGAGAAGGCCGGGATGCAATCCGGGGACCGGCTGGTGGCTGTGGCTGGGGACAGCGTGGAGGGGCTGAGTCATGAGGACACGGTGTCGAGGATCCGGGCCCAGGGCTCCTGCATCTCCCTCACTGTCGTGGACCCTGAGGCTGACCGCTTCTTCAGCATGGTGCCAGCAAGCAGAGGGCAGGCTGCGAGCGCGAGGGGTGGGGGTGGGGGGGAGTGGAGCTGGGTGCAGTGGAGGGAGGAACCCTGGACTGGTTCTGTCTGCCTCCTTCCAGGTCCGCCTGTCCCCCCTTCTCTTTGTGGAGCACACAGAGGCTTTTGCCTCTCCCCAGAACCCCCTCCCGGTGCCCCTGATAGAGACCAGGGACCCTCCGGATGAAGGCACAGCTGCGCCTTGTGCCATGCCTGGCTCTCGCCACTGCTTCCTGTACCCTCAGCCAGGTGGCGGCTATGGCTTGCGCATCAGCTGGGTGGCCAGTGGGCCCAGTGTCTTCATTTCCCAGGTGGGACTTGTATCCTTGGAGTCCCTCACCCCCACCCCCGGAGCCTGGCTGAGCCCAGCAGACTTTCCCACAGTGTTCCCTGTGGTGTGTTTCCCCTTCCCCATGCAGGTGACCCCGGGAGGTTCAGCTGCCCTGGCTGGGCTGCGGGTGGGGGACGTGATTCTGGAGGTGAACGGACTTCCCGTGGGTGGAGAAAGTGACCTGGGAAGACTTCAGCAGCTGCCTGAGCTGGACCCGCCCCTCTGCCTGAAGCTGGCAGCCAGGTTTCAGCAGGACCTGGGAACCCGGATCCCCTCAAAGGCTGGCAAGGTGAGGAGGAAGAGACAGAAAGACGGGCCTGCAGAGTACCGGAGAAGGGCACAGGAGAGGCAGAGGGAGGGCTGCAAGGTGGAGCTTATGGTGGTGGCAGGTGGGGGGTGGTCTCTGTTAACGGGTTCACTGCTAGCTAGAAGGCTGGAGGTTCGAGACTGCCCACGAGTGCTCAGAAGAAAGGCTTGGTGATCTACTTCTGAAAAATCAGGAGCGTAACTGCTCTGGCTTAAATGGGGTCCTAATGCAGGAGTCCATTCAATGGCCACTGGCTTCTGGTCACATGGGGCTCAAAAGGACCCAGGGTACAAATGCCACTGCTGAGCTACTATGGGGAGGGAAAGGGGCCTCCTCTGGCCCCAGTATCACCTGCCCCCTCTTCTCTCTACTTAGGATCAGGCCCTCACCTCAGATGTGCTCTAGGGCTCCCTGCGTGGCACAGGAGGCACCCAGCGACTCTCCAACCCAAGGTGACAGGAGCCAAGATGCTCTTTGTCAGCCATCAGCTGGAGTTCACGGATGCTGGACAGCTCCCATCGCAGGTGCCCCCGGCCAGGAGCCCACCACCAATCAAAGACCTCATGAAGACCCACGAAGGAGCCTGTTCTCAGCTGACCCTCCTCTGCGGCTCCAGAGGAGGTCACGCTGGGGCTTTGGGGAGCTGTGCCCCAAGGAAGACGTCCTGTTTGAGAAGAGTTGGTGCGGCCTGGCTGGGATTGGCTTTGTGTGGCACTCACCCTGGGCATGCACAGGAGGCTTCTAAAAGTTTAGATCTGATTCCATTTCACCTGGAACCCTTTGAAGCCCCCCCCCTCATATTACAGGAGTTTGGGGACACCTTCGAATTCTGGGAGCACAGCCACTCTGGCTGTTCGGTCACCATAGCAAATGATGTTACAGAAATGACCTTTCCCCATACATCCGGCTGGCTGTGTTTGTATTCATGGGGACAGGGAGGTGGCAGTTTGAAGGGACCAGGCTCAAGGGGCGGGGCCCTGTTTTTTTGTGGAAGAAGCACAGGAATCTTGTCAAACTTCTCTCCCATCATTCAGTCTCTGGGGTAATGGGTCGAGTTAGAAAGGAAATGTCCCCATAATAAGCCCCCTTCTGACCCCGGCCACAGCCCCATTGAGGTCCATATCAAGACAGCTGTACTGCTGGGCCTCAGGGAGCCCAGACCACAGACGTGCAGGCTCACAGGTCCAGGGGGTTGAGCCCAAACTGGTGCAGCTGCTCCTTGTGCCTGGCGTGGAGTCGCCCTGCAGTCTCCTCCCACTGAGGCTTCACAGCTCGTAGCTTGGCCAAGAGCCGGTCCAAGCTGTCCTGCAGATACCAAGCTTCAGCACCGCAGAGAGGACAGGTCTGCGGCGGGGGTGCCCCAGGTCAACCTGGAAGCCCTCTTTGCCCAGGTCTTCCTCATGCTGTTGTTCTCAGGAGAGGCACCTCTGCATCTCCTTGCCTTTCTATCGGTCCTCACAATGGACCCTGGTTTTCCTCGGGAGAAGCTCTTCCCTCCCCACCCTCCCTGGGCAGTTAGTCCTCGCATTGGCTGGGGCCTGGGGGTGGGGTGGAGTGCGGGGCACCGGTCTGGCTGGTCTCCAGGGGGTGATGCTTACATGTAAGAGCTCCTCATACTTGGCTTCCATGTCTGCTACGTGAGCCCGAAGCTGGGCCAGAGCCCCATCCCGCTCTGTGAGGGCCTGCTCGGCGGCTGCTCGGGCAGCCGCAGCTTCCCTCTGGCATGTCTCTGGGGGACAGAGGATGGAAGAGGACAGGAAGACAGCCTTCACCTTTGCATTGCCTCCCAAGTTACCTGAAGCTGAACTCCAGTGGCAGCAGGCCAGACCCGCCAAGGCCCACCTGCGTCCCCATGGCCCCTGCTTTAAAGGGCTGAAGGCCCACAGAGGTCCAAGAGACAGGGTAGTGGGCTTGGGACAGGAGACATGGCCCAGAAGTCTGGTGTCACTTAACGACCTGTGGAACCTTAGGGGCCCTTCTCTCTGAGCCTCGGCCTCGTCATCTTGAGAGGGAGAAGGAGGCTCACCTCGCTGGTTTCTAGGAGAGGCCAAAGCCATCAACGGAGGAAAAGCATATGATCTGCAGGAGGCACCCAGCAGATGCTGCATGTATTTGAACTTGACAGAAGGCAAAGGCTGAGAGAGGAGCCCCGGGTCAGCATGCCGGATCAGCAGCCTCGCAGTGCAGCCATTACATGCCATTACATGCGGGGCTGCTAACTGCATGCTCGGCAGTTTGAACCCATGGGCGAAAAAGGAGGCTTTCTGCTCGCATAGAGATTGGCAGCCTTGGAAACCCACTGAGGACGGTTCTGCTCTACTGGGGTCGCTAGGAGCCGGAATCCACATGATGGCAGTGGGTTTGGGCATCTGTAGCGAACCCAAGTGAAGCTATTTCTTATTAAGACGCATTGAAGGCTCAAATTGTGACCTATCGTACGTGCCATCCTGCTCAGGTATTTCCACTTTGTCCAGTAAGCAAGAAGGAAGAATTCCTGTTTTGGGTTTAGCTCTGCTGATTGGGGAGTTCCTATTCATTTACTTAGCAAATAGTTACTATGGGCATATGTGCTCCAGTGCTCCATGACTGGCCCAAAGATTGGTGGTTCGACCCCACCAGAGGTGCCTTGGAGCACAGGGCTGGCAATCTGTCAGAGAAAAGTCGCAGCTCTGACAGGCCTGCCATGCACCCAGGGAGTCACCCTGAGCTGGAATCGATTCGATGGCAGCACCCGCCCTGCTGGGGCACTTGGAGGGCTGACGTGCCCCCTGGATTGCAGGGTGGAAACCCCACCGCTAGGCAACAGAAAAGGGCTGGCTGTCTGCTCATGAGGCACATGGCAGGTGGAGAGTCAGGTCTGGGTTTGGAGAGACCAAGTGAGCGAGGGAAACAGCAGGAGAGACGTAACATTCTGGAATGACCTGCCTGCTCGACTTATAATCTAGAGCACCTTGCCACCCTGCACCCTCGGGCCCAGTCCTCACTGACAGGAGTGGCCTTGGCAGTGCTGAGAGGCCAGCTCTCCTCCGTGACCCTGGGGGAGGAAGGGCAGCCTCAAGGACGGAAGCCCACCTAGCTGCTCCCGAAGGCCCCTCACTTCTTCCCTCAGCTGTCTGCAGCGTGTGTCCATCTCCGTCTGCAGGGCCCGCTGCCGTCGGCTCATCTCTGTGGTGGGAAAACCCGGGTTGGGGGGGGAGAGGGTCAGGGGACTTTGGCTTAGTCTGGCGGCCAGCATGTTGTGGTGGAAACCAGGCCCCTACCCCACCCCAGTTCAGGACGGGGAGTCTAGCCCTTGCCTCCACTCACTGCCATGGGCTCAGTGACCCACTTTTTACCTATGACCCGTCAGCATGGGTGGGCAGCAGAGATCCAGTTTCCTGACTAGGGTCCCAGAGGTGAGGGGCTCCTTAGGGTGTGATTTGTGCCAAGCCCAGAAGTGGGAGACCGGGCCTTGTCGATGCAGGTGGAAGCTCTCCTGCGTGTCCCTCTCTGGCTTCCTTTGCCCTCTCTTCTGGTCTCTGTCTCCTGTCCATCTGCTCCTGGGCCACGCACCTGTGTACACGGCCTGCCCCTCACTGCGGGCCCCCTCGAGTTCTGCCTCCAACCCGTGCAGCCGCTGCTTCAGCTGGTCTTCTGAGGCCTTGGCTCGGCGGGCCTGGTCCCTCTGCAGAGCTGCGAACAGAGCCTCCCTCAGGACTGACAGGAGCCACTCAATCCACCCCCAGGGTCATGATGGGCTCTGACCACCCATCGGCCTCCAGTGCTCTCTGTCCATCCCTCACCCCAACCAACCCCGAGGGTCTCACTTTCTCTGTATTACTGTGAAGCAACGCTTTCTCTACAATCTGGCTTTAAGAAGCAGCTCCCTTGTTCCCTCATCAATCCCCACTGTCCATCCTCTCCCACCATCCCAACTCCTGCAGGTCTTTTCCTTTGGGCCGAGCGTTGAGGCCACCACAGCTCCAACCCTCCAACCACCCAAGGGGGCGGTGGAGCCAGACACGGCCCCTTGCCCTGCCTCTGCCGCTCCCCAGAGCTTCCACCGACTTACCCAACTGGTCTCGGAGCAGCTCCTTCTCCAGCACGGCCAGCCTGTGCTTGGACTCTGCTTCCACATCTGCCCTGGCAAGGTGGCCCTGGGTGGGGCTAGAGAACTCCGGCTTCTCCGGTCCTCACCCAAGACCCTAGGCTTCCTTCATACATGAAGCCCGAGGACCAGCACACACGAATCCCTGAGAGCAGCAGCAAGCCTGCCCGTGTTTGTTCTCACTAACCAGCCCCAAACAAGTACTCAGACATGAGTACATGAGACAACAGACTGGAGGGGCTCCCAGGGAGGGGGCTGGCATCAGATCCCCTAGTCCCCCTGATCCATGGAACCTGGATGTGAAGCATGGGGGGCTGGGAGAGGCAGGGAGGGCCAGGAGAGAGTCCTCTTAGCATGCTGAGGGCTGAATTCCTTCTACCGAGCCTCTGCATGGTCCCTGGGAAAGAGCGACCTCCCACCCTGACTCACCAGCACTCGGCGGCGGTGGCTTCTTCTTCTGTGTCCCCTTCCCTCTGGCCTTTGGTGGCATTTCTTTGCTGTCTTGAGGGAGGGAGGAGACAGGGGTTCAGGTCTGGACACAGGGATACCTTCCTGACCCCTAGGCTGGACCAGGAGTCCTAAGTCAGCGCTCTAGTCTCCGAGTCCGTCTCTTCCGCTTCGCAGAAGCTTCTGTTCTTGGTCTCTGGGGAACCTCAGACAACTTGGGGTCACTGGGAGAAGATGGAATGGTTTCTGCCTCCCAACCAGGCTCTGTGTACAGAAGTTACCCCCCGCAACCCTCTTGAGGAAATCAGCTTCGGTACCTGGTACCCTTCCTCTTCTCTGACCCTGCCTCTTCAGACCAGTGAGATCCTCTCTTGCCTCTGTTGTTGGGGCTCTCTGGGGAGTGACCTTCTTCACTGGGAGGAGCACAGAGAAGGCCCAACCAGCTAGGAGGGAGAGGAGAGCTCGGCTCTGGGGACCAATCCAGAGTGGCCAATTGCTGTCAGGGGGAGGACTCAGAACGGCAAGGCTGGGCTCCTGGACTTCACGTTGTCAAGGTGACTGGCAAACATGATGGAGCTGGAAGGAAGGTAAAATGGGCTCACGGAGCTTAAAGCGTCAAGGTCCCAGCAAGTCCTCTTCTCAGTTCCAAATTCAAGGTGTAGTTTGAGAAGGGCTTTGGGGCTAATTATGATTCCCGTCCCTGTAGATACTGTCTGCAACTTGACGACTCACCGGGTTCAGATGTCCACATCCACAATAATACCACTGTGCTGAGGCAAAGAAAAAGGAACACCAACAGGCATGTCGGGCAGTTTATATAACCTAGGTCCCTTCTGAAAAATGACATCATTAGACTTAAAACTCAAAATCTCCTTCAGTAAGGCCGTTCTGTACTGTGGGCCCTGGTGGCGTAGTGGGTGCATTAAACTCCTGACGGGAAGGTTGGCAGTTTGAAACCACCAGCCACTCCAAAGGAGAACGACAGGGCTTTCTGCTCCCATCAAGCGACAGTCTTGGAAACTCACAAGGACAGCTCTACCCTGTCCTATGGGGTCACTATGAGTTGGCATTGACGCAATGGCAGTGAGTTTAGTTTGGGTTTTGGAAGGCATTCTCCGTGGTGTCCAAGTAGGAGAGCGTTTCCATTTCAGAGAAATTAGGAACAGAAGAGAGTTGGCCATGGCGCCTAGGGTGCTGACCTCGAGGGATGGGGACATCGAGGAAAGGGCACTGGTTAGAGACACGAGACTCTGGATGTATCCATCCTCTGGATTACGGAAACTTGCGTGTCAATCAACTTTGTGCAGCCCCAGGCTTCCGGGCTCGAAGGCTTTGGTTTTGTAAATTCTGATGGGCTAGGTTTTAACTGTGTAGTTTATGTACCTCTCTGCTTTCTTAAGGAGCCCAGGGAGCGTGTTGGGCTGTGATCCGCATGGTCAACCGTTTAGAAACCATAGCAGCTCCCCCGGAGAGATTGGACTTTCTACTCCTGTACATAGTGACAGTTTCAGAAACCCATGGAGGGGCCGATGTGAGTCAGCATGGGCTTGGTCAGCAAGTTTGTTTGTTTGTCTTTCTTCTCTTCCAGCCTTCATCTCTTGCCCTGATCATTTCCAGACAGGAGGGTCTAAAAAGCTACCTTGGCAAGGCTCCCTGCAGCATAGGGTTGGTTTGGGCTCCCTCTAGCGGACTCGCTTGACTTGTCTCAAAGCAGACCAAGCCAGTGGATTCAAACTCCTGTTAGCGCCATCAAGTCGGAAACACCGCCCAGTCTTACTCCATCTTCACAACTGCCCTTATGTTTGAGCCCAGTGTGGCAGCCACTGTGTCAACGCACCTCGTCAACGGTCTTCCTCTTCTTCGCTGCCCCTCCATTCTATCAAGCATGATGTCCTTCTCCAGGGCCTGGTCTCTCCAGACATGTCCAAAGTACGTAAGACAAAGTCTCATCATCTTGGCTTCCACGGAGCACCCTGCCCGCACTTCGACCCAGACAGGCTGGTTTGCTCTTCTGGCAGTCCATGGCACTTTCAGTTCTCTCTGACAGCGCCAAGACTCCGAAAGTATCGGTTCTCCTACAGTCTTCCTTAATCAATGTCCACCTTTCACATGCATATGAGGTGATTGAAAATACCACCATGGCTTGGGGTAGCCGCCCCTTAGTCCTCTTGCTTTCCGATACTTGAAAAAGGTCGTGTGCAGCAGATTTTCCTAATGCAACATGTCATTTGATCTCTTGATGACTGCGACGATGAGCATTGATTATGGATTCAAGCAAGACGAAATCCTTGACCATTTCAATTTTTTCTCCGTTTATCACGTTATCTATTGGTCCAGTTGTGAAGATTTTGTTTTTCTTTAGACTGAGTTATAATTCACATAGAAAGCTGCAGTTCTTGATTTTTATCAGCAAACGCTTCCAAGCCTCCTCGCTTTCAGCAAGCAAGATTGGGCCATCTGTACATTGCAGGTTGTTAAGCAGCCTGCCTTCCTCTTGCTGCCCTGTTCTTCTTCAGAGAGGCCAGCTTCTTGTATTAGCTGCTCAGCGTATAATTAATTACTGTTAGTATCTGCTCAGGTCGGATAGTGTAGTGAAAGGATACAGTTCTGGTGAATACCTCTCCTGGATTTTTTTTTCCTGGATTTTTTTTTAATGAACCCTTTTATAGGGAACTCGTATCGATATCATAACCCATAATCCAATTAGGTCACGCATAATTGCATGCTGCCACAATCACTTTCCAAACATTTTCTTTCTTCTTCAACTCCTTAATATCCCCTTCATCCCCTCCCTCCCCCACATTTCCTGATTCGGAGCCATGCAGTATTCCCTTGTTCTGTTCCAAGGACTGCCTCTTGATCCATGCTCAGGTTCCACATAAGCACAATGCAGTGTGCGGGAATCCCCCTTCTTCTCCATGCTCTCCGGCGTCTGTGAGGATCCACACAGTCAAATGCCTTGCCATAGTCAATAAAACACAAGTAAACATCTTTCTGATGTTTTCTGCCTTGAGCCACGATCCATCTGATGTCAGCAAAGACATCCTTCATTCCATTCCCTTTTCTGAATCCTGACTCATAGTAACCTTACAGGCCACTTCAGAGGCTGTAAATCTTTATGGGATGAGATAGCTTTATCTTCCTCCCTTGGAGCAGATGATGGGTATGAACCACTGACCTTGTGACTAGCCAGTCCAACATCTATCCAACAGTGCCAGCGGGGTTCTGGACCTTATCTCAATCTCTCTCTCTCTCTTTTTCATGTAAGATGATTTTTAGGAGCTGTGGGGATGGGGCAGGGTGCACTTTGCTAGGATCATGAGTGGTTAGATAAGCAAATCTGGGGAAGGGAGTAGGATGGGTGGCTTGTTCCTGCCAGGCTGCAGCCCCCACCCGCCTTCTAGCTCTGTGCAGTCTGGGACCCACCAGTCTGACACCTAGATCTCCTGCGCACCCTGTTGGCCAGAATGAAAATACAGAAAACTTCAGGATGTCTCCCCTGACGGGGGGAAGGGACTCGCCGATTCTCTCTTCAGTTACCTCCCTCCATCCCTGTCCACTGCAAGATTTTTGGACAGTGCTTCTTGCTGGAAGCAGATCTGTAGAAATAGCCGTCAGATGAGAAAAGGCAAGGCCCTCCCTCTCAGAGCAGGCAGATTCAGGTAGAAGCTTCTACGTGTTTGTTTGTCACCTTGGCCGCCTGGCCGGGCTCTGGAACCTTCTGACACGCCGCAGAGTGAAGAGAAGAGCCAGGCTTGCCGCTCCGGGTGCGTACAGCCTGATCTCCCGGCACTCAGGCTCAGGTAGCTTTCTCCCAAGTCTGGAGAAGTCCTTCCTTTTCCTCTGGAGCCCTCTCCCAGGGCGCAGGAATGCAGCCGAGGATTCTCCCCTGCACATCTTATCTGGAAGCCTGTTTCTTGAGTTTTTAACACGGAATAGCATTGTTATTATGCGGACCCATGGGATGACGCATTGAGGAGAGAGATGACAGAACACACACAAGGTATTCTGCTTCGGAAGAGGATTTTCTTCACGAATCTGCTCAGTCAAGCGACTTTCAGGTGCGGACTGAGGATGTGGTTTGGGGTGAAGGTGAAGTGGAGTGAGAACAGTGCCACGTGACACATGACGTGACCGCAGCGAAGCAGCTCTCGCCTTCACCCGGGAATGGGGAAGACACTGTGATCCACGATTCAATCTGATCGCTCAGGACTTTGAAAAAATGCGAACTAAATGAAAAATCATTACCCCCTACAGGTCAACCTTTCTTTTTTCATTAGACTCAGTTGGGAATGACAGCTGGAAGCACCCGTTCACCAGAATTTTGTCTTCCTTTGAGTACGATTCCATCTGGGCGTTCTGAAGAAAGATAAACTCAAAAACCAAGCTCCTTGCTGTCCAGTCAGTGCCTACTCTCCATGGCCCAGAGGACAGGGTCGACTGCCCCTGTCGGGTTTCCGAGGCTGTAACTTTTCATGGGAGTAGAAAGTCCTGTCTTTCTTCCTCCTAGTGGCTGGTAGTTTCCAACTGCTGACCTTGCAGATGGCAGGCAGCCCTGCTCGTAACCACCAGGCCACCAGAGAGCTGGAGAAGAGAAAGAACTCGCTCGTGGGTTCTAACGTGAGAGCGAGGTCATGTGTGTGGTGAAAGAAAGATGCCCCCTGCGGCAGAACCCAAGGACATCTTCTACAGCGCCATTTGAGGGAGGCCTGACTGAAGCTGACGCACACTAGAAATGGAGAACCAGAGCCGAGGCGTGTGCGCCTCTCCAGGCTTACCAGGTCCACTCCTTTAAGGTGCGCTCATAACTGAGTGGATCATCCGGAGCTCAGTTCTACCCTGGAACATCAAGGTCACCACAGGCTGGAACCAACTCGACAACGGCTGGTTCGGTAGATGTGAGAAGAAATGGGCGTCTGGGAAGGAAGGTAGCATTGAGCTGAGTCTGGAAGAATGGATTGGATTTTAGGAAAATACTTCTGGTGGAGAGGCTGCTCTGAAGAGTGGTGATTTTTAAAAAAAGCGTGAATCGCATCACACAGCCTGGGAATACCTGCATGACATCATCGTGCCATCCTCACGATGGTGGTTCTGTCCGAGCCCAGGGTTGTAGCCACTGTCAATCCATCTTGTCAGGGGTCTTCCTCTTCTTGGCTGATCCTCCACGTTAGCACACTTGCTGTGTTCTCTTCTAGGGACCAGGCTCTCCTGATAACATGCCCAGTGCATATAAGATGAGGTCTCCCCTCCTCACTGCCATCAAGTCAGTTCTGACTCATAGCAGCCCTATAAGACAGGCAGAACTGCCCCAGTGGGTTTCTGAGACAGTAACTCTTTATAGGAGCAGAAAGTCTCCTCTTTCTCCTGGGGAGTGCTGGGTAGTTTTCAACTGCCGACCTTGCAGTTAGTCAAAAAGCCCAAGGCATAACCTCTCTGCCACCAGGGCCCACGTCTACAATGGGAGCAGCACAAGATAATGATGATTGTTAACTTTATTCTGGAGGCAATGAGGAGTGTTTACATTTTGGTGGCATAGTCAGCTCTATCATGGGTGGGGAGCCTTATTTATTTTACCCAAGGGTCATTTGGATATTTATAACATCATTTGAGGGCCATACTGAGCAAACATTTAATTAACTAACCCCTAAGTGATGGCTAAGGATCCCTGGTGGTATAGCAGGTTACACGTTGGTCAGTAGTTCGAAACTACAAGCTGTGCAGCAGGAGAAAGATGAGGCTTTCTAGTTCCATAAAAAGTTACAGCTTCAGAAACTCGCAGGGACAGTTCTATCTGTCCTATGGGGTCACTATGAGTCACAATCAGCTTGATGGCAGTACGTTTTTGTTGTTTTCTAAAGTGGTAGCTGGAACTGCGTTTCTTTGGTAAGGCCTGTGATGAGAACTGGTATTGATGACTTCTCAGACCCACTAAGGGGCCGGAGATCCCCCACCCCTGCTGCAGAAAGAATAATCTGATGACAGGAGGGATTGGGCCGGCAGGGAAAGCAGCAGGCCAGGGGTGAGAAAAGAAGGCAGGGCCAGTGGCAGGGAAATGGCATCAGGCTTGGTACGTTTTCGACAACCAAGAGCTTTTTCTAGATCTTCATTTGGTGTGTTTTCCTCTCACTCTGTTTAGGTAGGGACTAATAAAATGCAAATTGACCGATAGGAAATGATGTTGATACTAAAATTAATTCTAGATAAAAATAAATGCAACTGCAAATGAACTGCAAATTCAAGATATCCGGCTGAAGGCTCCTTGGGTTCAGAGGTATTTCCCCACCCCCACCCCTCTCAAAGGAGTACCTAGGGGGGTCCTGTTGGAGCAGTGAATTACACTGTTGGGCTGTTGACCGAAAGGTCAGTAGTTCAAACCCACCAGCCACTGAGGGAGACGTGTTAGTTTCCTTCTGTATAAAGGTTTGCAGCCCATTCAGTCCTACAGGGTCTCTATTATGAGTCCGAAAGGACTTTATAAAAGTGGGGCTGGGAAAACGAATCCCTTATAAACTCCAATTCCCTAATCAGCTAAGGATTCCTTGGAAGAGGTGGAGGCAGCTGAAGCGGAACTGATAGCTTATTGACACAGCACGGCCAGCAAGCCCATGCTGAGGCTCTGAGTGAACCAATTAGGGCAGGGCACTTCCTTCCTTGGAATCGAGGTTCCTTTTTTTCTTTCTTGAAGTTATTCCAACGGAACTGTTAGATTAGAGAAGTGGAAGTGACTGTGGGCTCCAGGGGCGGAGTCTTCGCTTTCCTGAGCAGGGCCTGGTGCTGGCCCAGCAGAACTGGCGGCACTAAGTGCTGAGCAGGAGAAATCTTAAGTGGCCATTCAATTCCCAGAAAAGGAACCAGCATTCAGCAGAGAGAGAGAGGAAAAAAGGAAGTGCTTTGTTGTCGAGAGGTCAAGGCCTGAGGTCTCTCAGGGACTCCTCGGACTGGAATCGCGAACCATCTGCAGCCTTCACTGAATTCCTGCCTTTGGGCTTGCTGAACAATTTAAAACAACACGGGGCGGAGAAATCAACCCCCCCTCCCACCCCAATTCTCTACAATGTGAAGCAAATAGCTTGAACCCGAGTTCCTTTATTTGTCAACCATGGGGTAAAGACTTGACGCTAAGCCTCCTTCCATTGCTACTTTGTATTACTTTTTAACACTGACGTGACCCACCTCGGGAAGCTCAAACTTCTGTCCCACAATGAAGGTAGCGAGCTTGGCTCCTGTCTAATGCGCAGACTCGACGTTCGGCTCCACCCTCGGCCTGCCCCCGCGTCGTCAGCAGGGGGCGCAGGCACCGGCCCGGACCCGAGTGAAGACTCCGCTCGGCTCCGCCCCTAGGCCCGCCCCCAGAGGGAGGAGTTAGGGGCGGGGCGGGCGGCGGGTGCGGAAACTTCGCCGGGGCTTTCCGGAGCTGCGGGTCCGCCCGCGGCTGGAGGGAGGCCGGCTACCCGGTTCCGCCGACGCCGCTTCCTGCCTTCTCGCTCTCCGTCAGTCAGTCAGTCAGTGGCGCGCGCCTCCCGCCCGCGGGC